TATGGTGCGTCAGTTACACCCCAATAAACCCGTTTTTAAATGAGGGGTTGGGGTGGGGAACTGGGCAAGGAAAGAGCACTCGGTGCTGTGACCTTTTAGGTCAGACCCGTGGTTGGGAAACTGCGGCTCATGAGCCACGTGCGGCTCTGTGGCCCCTTGAGTGTGGCTCTTCCACAAAACACCTCGGCCTGGGCGAGTCTATTTTAAAGAAGTAGCGTTAGAAAAAGTTTGCGTTTAAAAAACGTGGCTCTCCAAAGACATGTCAATCGTTGTCCTGTCAATACCTGGCTCTGTGGACTGATGAGTTTGCCCACCACTGGGTCAGACCGTGATAAAGGACCGGCTGCACCCACCACAGCCAGGAAAGGGCTCCCACTCAGATCCATTTTACGAGCCTAACAGCTGACGCCCACTCACCTCACGGGTCCCTGCTCAACCTGTCACAGCTCAGGGGTTGGGGGGGAGGGGGGCAGTGCGCCTGGGACCACGGGGCCTGAGGTGAAGGGGGTTCCTGGGGTGGGGAGCGGGCATGCAGAGCCTCCAATAGGACAGCAGTTCCCTCTTTCATCTCAGAGTCTGCCAGGCTCCAACGACTACAGTGTCCCCACCACTCAGAGTCCTTTATGCATTGGCAACCACTCCCCCTCCCCCCTCACTCCAATTTCATCTGATCTTATCACCCCCACCCTGAGCCTGCAGGCTCCACCGCTTGGAGGGACAAAGCCCTGGCCCCCACCTTATCGCCCCTCCCTGGAAGCACACCAAAGGGCAGAGCTATGGCCTCAGGAACCCTCCTGGCCTCCTCCCTCTGGTACCTGTGCTGGTGCCTGCCCCCAGCTGCCCCCTGGAACCGCTTGCTCCCTCCGCTGCCCGCCAGGGCACCCTGCACAAGGTCAGCACCACGATGTTCTTTCACTCCACACGCATGGAAGCCCGTGTGCGGCAACAGGGATGCCAGATGCGCATGAAGTAGACACAATCCCCGCCCCATGGAGCTAACCCCAAATGGAGAGACCGGCAGTAGCAACTGATAAAAGAATGACAACCTTCTGCCCAGCCGATGTGGCTCAGTGGTTGAGCATCGAACTATGAGCCAGGTCATGGGAGGTTCGATTACTACTCAGGGCACATGCCCAGGTTGCTGGCTCCATCCCTCATATAGGGTGTTCAGGAGGCAGCTGGTCAGTGATTCTCTCTCATCATTGATGTTTTTATCTCGCTCTCTCCCTCTCCCTTCCTCTCTGAAATCCATAAAAATGTGTGTTTGTTTTGTTTTGTTTTAAAGAAAAGAATTATAACCTTCCCAAAGGGGGAGGAAAGCGTGGGGTTGTAAAGCAGGTCTAGGATAGGGACAGGTCCTTAGTCAGACAACCAGGGACATCCCTGAGGAAGGGGCACCTGAGCTCAGAGCCGGGGTGGGAACAAACCCTAAGCGAAGGACTGGCTGAGCAGAGGCACAGAGGTGGCGAGGGCACAGAGGTGGACTGGCTGCGGGGGCAGGGCCAGCACAGCATGGAAGGGGCAGGTGGGACCAGACAAGACCAGGAGGGAGGAGAGGGCCAGCCGAGGCAGCCCCACAGGCCACGTGAGAGGTTTCAGGCTTTACCATGGCCTCAGTGAGAGGGTGGAACAGGCTTAAGCCAGGTGGAGCAGTGCCAGGTCTGCCTTCTCCGAACACCTCGCTCTGGGGCTCTGAGGGCACATCCAGGGGGTCACCCCTCCACGCCCCGGCCTCCCTCCGGGCTGGGAGCTCAGCCAACAGTGTGCCACTGCCGAGGAAGCCGTCCTGGCGTGCAGACATGGATCCAGGGGCCATTCGGGGGACACTTCATGTCCTTCCAGCCAGTCAAGATGGGAAGAAGAGGTGACGGTGTAGGCTTAAACCTTCCCTTCTGAGCTCAGACAGGGAAACTGTCACAGAGTCCAGAGACCACTGCACGTGCCTCTTGGAAGACAATCACCAACACCCTCTGGACAACGGTGAGCTGGAGCAGGAGGACGCCGCCACACCTCACAGCCCTGCATGCCGGGGAGAACAAAGCTCTCTCTGCTCCCCTACGGCCTGGGGCAAGGACCCTCCACTGCGCCAGCCCCACTGGCCAGGGGGTGAATCCCCCAAGAGACCTCTGGCCAGTCTGCTCACTGAGCACTGCTCCCAGGCAGAGCGCTGGCGGCCCCGGGCTGCTGGCTCCACACAGACTTGGCACAGAAAAACCACCAAATCATCCCCATGGTTCTCCAGGCCAAGCCTTCCAGGCCAGCTTTTCTTTTTTAAAGCTTACGGGTGGTTTCTATGGCAACTGGCTTTAGTGACTGGCAGTCAGCCCCAAGCCCACACTCTGACCTGTCCACGAGGGCAGCCAGGAAAAGAGCACAGTCTCTCGCTGGGAGAGATCCTCTCCACCCCGGACCCTGCAGGCTGGACGGGGCATCTCACAGGCAGAACACTTTGGGGCTGCCAGGACATCTCAGAAACTCGTCCGTCTCCCTTACACCCCGAGCACCCTCCCAGGGACCTGAGCGGCACCTCTGAAAAGGGCCCTTTGAGATGAGCCCGCCGGAAGCAAACCATCTTACAGCAGGGTTTTCCTCACAGCAAAACATGGAAAGGCCAGCTCTGCAAACCCAAGCCCTGGGCTCTGCTTCCCGCCTCTGAAACGGACTTCCCTCTGCCTTCGTGGACTCACCTAAACCCCTTTGCTAATGTCTCAAAAGTGTTAAAACAGAAATCTGAAAACATGTGACCGAGGTCAAGTGTCAGTCTGCGTGGTCTGGCCCTGGACTTGACTCCCGTACGGCCTGCAGAGCGGGCGGCGGGTCACCACTGTCGGCAGAAGGCCTGTGCGCGCCCTGAGCCCGCCTCTCCCGGGCCCTCTCCCGGCGCCTCGGGGTCCTTCTCCATGCCAGCCCCCGCCTGGTGCCCCTCTTCCTGGGGCCTCTGGAAAGCGCAGCCTGTCACCCTTTTCCCCAAAGGATTGTTCTCCTCACAAAGGAGGAAACGTCCTGTCCTTATCAGATATCCGGCTCACGCAGAACAGACTGCAGTGAAAATGTATCCCAGAAATCCCGAGGCCAGGAGGTTACCCCGCGGTCACCTCAGTCATCTGAGGCTGCTGGGTGTGTGAGCCCGGGGTGGGACAGCCTCAGGGACCAGCAAGACCTCCCTGAGAAACGCTGAACCCAGTGGCAGAAGCCCTTACACTGCATGTCCCCATGTCCCCCCGACATGCTCTCTCTGTAACCTTCTCTTTTTAGACCAGACACAGGGTCCCTGCTCTCCTTTACTCCCAGCGGTCACCGCCCCGGGCTGTGGGCTGTGTGTTTGGGGGAAAGGGGAAGGGAGGCCCCAGGTGTGGCTGTTCTCCAGCTGCCAGGGCATGGGCAGGCTGGGGGTTGTAAGGCCCATTGTCTTAGAGGAACAGGAACATAGCTACAATAGAAGCGCTCAGCAAGCAAGAGGCTCCCTACGGTAATGAACATTACTCACCGCAGCAACACGCCCACCTTGAGAAGTAGGACCGATCAGCATTCCCATTTTACAGAAGAGGAAAGTAAGGCTCAGGGAGGTCATGTGATCCAAGCATCACCTGCACTCGCTGGGCCCGAGCACTGTGTGAAGCGCTTTATGGGCACCTACTCCTCCCACACTTGGGGAGGTTTCCTAGTACTAACACCATCTATAGATATAAAAGCCTAATAATATGCAAATTGTCCCCGTGGGAGTTCGACCAGGAGACTGATCGTTCGCTGTGATGTGTACTGACCACCGGGGGGCAATGCGGAACAAAGGAAGGCCCTAGCCAGCAGCCAGCAGCAGGCAGCTGGAAGGTTGACCGTTGGCCCGCCCGAGGGACCCTACCTGTGCAAAAATTTCGTGCACTGGGACTCCAGTTTTACAATAAGAAACCGGGCTCAGCCAGACCACAGGGGAGCCTGAACATGCCCTTCCCTGTGACCTCCACCCTCGGGGAAAACATTTCAGGACACTGGCAAGGCAAAGGCCCCGGAGCGCACCACATGGGATCAGCACCCTCCCCCGGCTGCCCCAGGGAACGGCCACGAGCTGGGCCACTCACAGGCCACAGCTGCATCTGGCTTGCACACAGGAAGCAGGAATCTGTGGCAGAGTCAGCTGGGAGGGCTGAGAGCCATGGGAAAGAGGGAGAGGAAGGTGGAGGTCACAGACCTCGAACACAGGGGAGGAAGAAAACGCTGTCAGCAGAGGCTACTGTGTGGCAGTGAGAGTCCCCTTTGTCCCGATAAGGACAGACAGGAGGCCAGTCTCCAATTATCACACCGCAAAGCCGAGCCCCAGCGCCTCCCACCGGGAGGCCCTGCTTCGGCCGCCTCTTCACTGATAACACGACCTTGTCTCTCCTGACCCCCGAGGCACTTTCCGGAGGAGTAAATCACGTTCTTGTCCACAACAGAGAAGATATAGGACACGTCCACGGGGGCCCAGGCAGCACCTCCCACCCGGGGTGGTGGGCGGGTCACCGCGGGGTCAGGACCCAGGCTGCTGGAGAAAAGGGCCAGGAGGGCGGGGTCTGTGCCGAGACAAGCACACAGTGTCTGGGTAAGGAGCACAGAGGGGGTCTCCACCAAGGCAGCCCCAATGCTAAGACCTTGAAGATCCCTTTCTCCAAGCTGGTTCCACCTCCTGTGCTCACTCAGAAGCGCTGGCTGTGGCTGTGTGTGTGTGTGTGTGTGTGTGCAGCCGCACTGGGCTGAGCAGGACTCTGATCAGTAAATCATGCCTACACAGGCGGAGGGCCCAGGCGGTGCCAACCCTACCCTGGTTCAATCCCATTTCACACCCAACCACACGAAGGCCCTGGCAAGGAAGTGCCTGACCACAAGCCATGTCTTGGCAGGGGCAGAGCCGCCCCGGGAACACACACACACACACACACACACACACACACATACACACACACAGCCGGGCCGCTTCAGAAGCGCACGAGCGGCTCGCAGGCCCCCCTCCTCCCGTCCCCGCTCACCTGGAACCTGTGCACCAGCTCCAGGGACTGGCTGTCGTTCTGGTCGGCCTCCAGGATGACATCGGTCAGCTTGTGGATGATGACGTCCAGAGGGCCCTGCTCCTCGATCGGCCGGCTGAGGTTCAGCTGTGAGGGGAGAGACACAGAGGAGAACTTCAGCCCCCCGAGCCCACGGCCCTGCCCCGTCCCCACCCTCCGCACGTCCGTCCCCGCAGCACGAAGCGAGGGCGGGCGGGCTGGCGCGCCCGGGAAACAGATGGGACAAAGGGGATCCTGGAGCTCTGCCGGGGCGGGCCCCGTGTGTGTGCTTCCGTCGCCGAGCCCCACGCTGCCCGGGTGCGGGAGACACACGAGGAACCAAGGTGACCAGGCACCTAAAGCGAGCCGTCCCTGTGAAATCGCGTGAGAGAGAGAGAATTTACGGAACGCGCCCCCTGGGCCCGGCAGCCTGGGTTTTTTTTCAGGAAGGCCTCGGCGAGGGGAAGTCACAGCCAGACGTGTGCTGCGGTCCAAGAGGACACTCCACAACACGACACACGCTCTTAGCAGAGCGGCGATCTCCATAAATCTGAGAGCGGCTGCTTGAGGCCAGCTGCGTGCACGCCGCGCTGGAGCCGGCCGCGCCTGACAGTGAGGGAGCACAGGCCGCCTGTGATCCCGGGACACGGCTCGCCCTGCTCCCCCGGCGATACCCCGCTGCCACGGGCGTGTGTTTATTGTCTCAAGAGCACGAGGGCCCCCGGGGATCGGAGCCGCTGGCTGGCAGACAGTCGGCACCACCTGACCCCCGGCAGGAGCACCTGCCAACAGCCAGGGCGGCCCGACCCGCCAGATGTCTGCCGCCTGCACGCGGACGCCACCACCTGCAAGGCCGGGCCTGTGGAGGCAGCAGGCGCCAGCATGGCACCTGGCTGACCCCCCGGCTGGCCTCGGGAGCAGCCAGATGAGGCACCATCCCCACCCCTGCCCTCGGCCCCACCCTCCCAGTGGGCCTCCCTCCAGGACTGTTTCAAAGTCGTTCGGAAGGCACAGCGACAGCTCCCAATGATGGCTGTCGGAGGCGCAGTGCTAACAGCTCAGCGTGCATTCGTTTCGTTCCCAGCCACACGATGAGAAGCGATTTCACAGCTGGGTGGAGAACAGACGTTCTGGAACCTGTCTGGGATCTCAAGAGAAAGCGGGGAGCTGGGATGAAAACAGATCTGAGCCTTCGCTCGTCATTCAGCGCCCTCACCCCTACGCCCTGGGAGCTGACTCGGAGCCACGACCCCCTCAGTGCCTTGTCCACCGAGTCCGGGCAATTGGAAGCCCCAATGGGAGATGGGAAGGGGAGAAGGGGATGGGCGGTAGGGATAGGGAAAGAGAGAGAGAGAGAGAGAGAGAGAGAGAGAGAGAGAGAGAGAGAGAGAGAGAGAGAGAGAGAAAGTGTGTGTCTGGGTGTTTGTTAACCCTCCTCACGCCCCCACCATATTCCTGGCAGCGGCCACAGTCCCCATGGGCAGGGCAGCCCCTCGCAGAGACCCCTGCTATTCCTAGGGCTCCTGTGCCACCCTCCCTCCCTCCGTCCCCTCAGGCCTGGGGTGGTGACAGCTCCGCCTCCCAGGGTGCCTCCTAGGACCCTGCCCAGATTTAAACTGTTTCAGTTAAACCTTCAGACGGTGCCAGCTCATTCCTGCTGATACCCTTGACTCCTCTTTTTTTACTGCCTGCCAGGAAAGATATTAAGGGATTCCCCCTATTAAAAAAAGAAAATAACGAAGATTCCCCTTCCCATGGTGACGAGCCTGTGTACAAAACAAAACAGAAAGCGGACCAGTGCTGAGGCCAACCCCGCTGCCCGCTCCCGGGCGGGAGAGAGGTGCGGGCCCTCACAGCAAGCCCGGCGCTGGGGACGAGGCCCCCGCCTTCACACACCGGACACCAGGGGCACGGGAGGAAAAAGGACCGCGGAGGCCACGCACTTGGGACGTGGCCCCGCTGAGGCCTGGACAGAAGCCAAAAGGCAACACCCACGGGCCCAGGCCCCCGCCGAGCTGCCAGGCATCCTGGGCCTGTGCAAAAGCCCCGCTCAGCAATCCCTGCGCCTCAGTTTCTCCTGCAGCCAGAACAGGGCTCTGCGGGGGCCTTCCTGGCTCTGACTGCAGGTTCTGTATGACAGCCTTTCCCAGAAAGAAAGCAGAAAGTGAAAGAAGACAGAGAAGCCAGTGGGAAGTGGCAATGTGGGAAAAGAACAGCAAGTTCTCAGAAGGTGCCACGGCCACAGATCCACGTTTGCCGTGTCCGGTGGCTCCGCCGGGACAGGCGCCACAAGGAAGAGGCTGGTATTTTCAGACCGAGACAGCTACACCCAGAAGAGAACCAGGTCCCACGAGGGATGCTGGCCGTGCACCCGGGGCCGGTCAGAAACTCCATCCCCCTGAGAACTTCCCGGGTGTCCCGTGCAGCGCGAGGGACGGAAATCAGCCCTGGGAGCCGGGGGTCCCAGTGGCAGAGGAGACACCCCGTCTCCTCCTTGCCCGGCATCGGCCAGGGCCTGTAGACCTGACAACCACAGGCTGTTTGGAAAATAAGCTCTCTGCGTTCCCGGCTAGTCCGCCGAAGGTAAACAGTCAAGTTCTGGATGCCGGCCACCTTCCTTTGTGTATTTTCCAAGCATTTTTATGCCAGTATAACCCTTTCAGTATAACACATATCAGCCTGTCTGGTCCCTCCCGGCCACCCCTCCCTGCAGTGTCTTTGCTGAGGCCGAAGCCAGCGCCTCGGACGGGCGGGTGTATGGCACGGCTTTCCTGGTGGCCAGAGAGGCTCAGCGGGCTTCCACCTCCCCCACAGGCTGAGGAGGAGGAGACCGGCTGCTCCCTCAGGAGGGGCCCTCCAAGGACAGGATGTGCCAGACGAGGGGACCCTCAGAGGAAGGGGGATGCCAGAGGAGGGATTCTCAGAGGGAGGGGGATGCCAGAGGAGGGGGATGCCCCAGAGGAGGGGACCCTCAGAGGGAGGGGGATGCCAGACGAGGGACCCTCAGAGGAAGGGGGATGCCAGAGGAGGGACCCTCAGAGGGAGGGGGATGCCAGAGGAGGGACTCTCAGAGGAGGGGGATGCCAGAGGAGGGACCCTCAGAGGAGGGGGATGCCAGAGGAGGGACCCTCAGAGGAGGGGGATGACCCAGAGGAGGGACCCTCAGAGGAGGGGGATGCCAGAGGAGGGACCCTCAGAGGAGGGGGATGCCAGAGGAGGGACTCTCAGAGGAGGGGGATGCCAGAGGAGGGACCCTCAGAGGAGGGGGATGCCAGAGGAGGGGGATGCCAGAGGAGGGACTCTCAGAGGAGGGGGATGCCAGAGGAGGGACCCTCAGAGGAGGGGGATGCCAGAGGAGGGACCCTCAGAGGAGGGGGATGACCCAGAGGAGGGACTCTCAGAGGAGGGGGATGCCAGAGGAGGGACTCTCAGAGGAGGGGGATGCCAGAGAAGGGACTCTCAGAGGAGGGGGATGCCAGAGGAGGGACTCTCAGAGGAGGGGGATGACCCAGAGGAGGGACTCTCAGAGGAGGGGGATGCCAGAGGAGGGACCCTCAGAGGAGGGGGATGCCAGAGGAGGGGGATGCCAGAGGAGGGACCCTCAGAGGAGGGGGATGCCAGAGGAGGGACCCTCAGAGGAGGGGGATGCCAGAGGAGGGACCCTCAGAGGAGGGGGATGCCAGAGGAGGGACCCTCAGAGGGAGGGGGATGCCAGAGGAGGGACCCTCAGAGGAGCGGGATGCCCCAGTAGAGGGGACCTCAGAAGGGCACGCACTTCTGTTTCCCAGAGGGGGCGGGGGTAGGGGCTCAGGCAGAAGCGAACTCATTTCCATTGTGAACTTTTGTCTCCCTGGCCCTGCTCTGTCCCCAGAACACGTTCCAGGGGACTTGTTCTTTTCCACGGGAGGGGCTCGATCGGTCTCCCTCTGCGAGCAACAAGGCTTCTCAGTGAAAGGCCGCCACTGAGGCCGGGGAGGTCTGCGGGCACCGCGCTCCCGAGTCACGCCATCCCGGGAGGCCAGTGCTGGGTCCCGAAGGAACAAGGGCCCACTGTTCCCGCGGAGCGAGGCGGGCTGGCAGCGGGGGCGGGCCGGGAGGACAAACAAAGGCCTGCAAACCCCAGTGGCTGGAAAGTCACCTCCAGCTCCACACAGGCAGCCCCCCCCATCACGCCAGCGGCAGCTGAGGCTCTGCCTCCCCACCTTCGCGCCGCCCGGTCAGGAGGACGCCACTGCAAGCCGGCTGCCGTGGGCCGCGTATCTGATCGGTGCCTCGGTTTCCCGTTCGTAAAATAAGGATGTGACTGTGTCTCTACACCGCTCAGGGCTGCCGAGATGGATTAGAACATCGGCTCCTGGCTGCGGCACAGGGCGGAGTTCAGCCGTGCAGGCCGTTACCCCCGTGCCGAGTGCTCAGGACAACACCTCTGCTCGCTCACTCCCTTCTTCCACAGGCACTTCCTGGGCACCTGCTGTGGGCCAGGCCCCTGCCCTCTCCGGACGGGCAGAGAGCCCTGGTTCTCTGGGGAGGCAGACTCAGGCGAGGGAGACAGCCACATGCAGCTCCATATGCCATGGGGAGACACGCCCCTCTGCAGGGACTGTCCGCCTGCCCCAGAGCCCCTGTCCACACCGTGAGCTCCGACTTGTGTCCCGAAGCCCAGCTCAAACGGTCATCTTCAAACAACTCACCCTCCCCACGCAGGATGGCTCAACGTGTGCTGAATGCAGACGGCGCTTTAAAGAAAAACCGAACATCGAGACCAACCAGAAGGGACGGCCCAGGAAGCAGGGTGCCCCTCCCCTGCCCTGGGATTAGAGGCAGTCCCCTACAGGAGCAGGTGTCTAGGCCAAGCCCCGGAGGGAGAGGGCGGGGAAGGAGGGTGAGACCGGGGAGAAGGCAGCGACGGGACAGGGAACTCGCCTGCACGGAACACTCCTTAATGTGTCCATTCCAAACGCCTCGGCGCCCCAGGTGCCACCTCTGCCGAAAAGGGCGTGTCCTACGGCACTGACCTCTGGTTGGCACCTCGGGAGGGTCGCCCACGACCCCCTCTCATGCCTCCTCCGCAGGCAGGAAGCAGAGGGTCCCATAGGAGCTGCCAAGGC